CTTCAGTGCACGTGGCTTTATTTAGCTAGACACTGATGAGGCGACGCTAGCGAATACCGAGTTAGAACGGGCAAACGAGCGATTGAAATTTGCCCGTGTATCAGATGACTTCTCATGCACAGTAGTTTTTAGTTTTCCCCAAACCTGATGTGTCATCCAATCCAAGAAATGCGGTATTCTCGACGTTGACTATATTTTTACGCTAACTTTTCACTTTCCCCCGATAGGATTTGTTATATCACAAAACAGTCGATAGCGCTATCCGCCCATTCGTTTACCAGTTTCCTATCAGAACTTTGTGCTAAGGTAATTTCTTGATCGATCCCAATGTTTCTCAACTTATTATTGTCCTATTATGAAATATGTTCAGTAAACCGCAACTAACGGGTTGTTTTTTATTAGGCGGGGTGTGTAGAGTGGTATTTTCAGGTCATTGCTTTCGGGTGTTTTTTATCCGTCCAAATTTTTCACTATCAAGTGGCGTGTAAACAGTAAAAATGAATCAAAATTCTTTGCACGATTTGAATTCCGAAAAAAGGTGATAATGCTTCATTCGGTTTATCACTGGTGGTGTTTTGCCAACCCATGTACCTTTCTAATTTTAGATGATGTCTAGACAGTGTGTTTGTCAGGCAGTATTGATGAGTTTTGTCCCAAAATTTTGAAGTGTCTTCCTACGTCTTTAGCTTGCCAACCACTTCGTCATTCTGGTTTGGAACCCGATGATAGAGCGTTTCTAGTGGTACGGAACCGTTAACCGTCAAATAAATTTAGCAGCCTTTATCAAGTCCGTAGTTGGGGACTGTAATCCGGACATATTTGCGGAGGCAGCTTAACGCCACTATTTCAATCTACTGTGGATATGTTGAGCGTCAGACTTAGCGGTTTGCTTGACTTATATCTCCCAAAAACAGTGGCACAAAAATTCGCCCTAGAGATCATGAAATCAGACGTTAAGGTTAAATCATTTTTGATTTTATAAAACTATGACGAGTGTTTTATTAGGCAGAATTCCGCACCAATAGCACTTTATCATTCGCAATTAGGCGCTGCTACGTCCAAGAAGCCTATCCCGAACGTGATTGCCTAAAAGATCGGGTAGCTTTCCGGTCTGGCATCAAGGCAATCTCTAGTTGACCAACAGTCTGGTCCAAATAAAAATCAAGACCTAGTATCCGCCGAACGCCGGTTGCAGATGACGCATCCATAAGGCCTCACAAATTTCAGAATGCTGTCGCCGAATACACTCTGTGTACGAAGCTGTAAATATTTTCCACCGGATTTTTGGCGTACACCTTGGGTGATTCTTTTGATCAGAATGCTGGCTTGTAGGTTTTAAAGAGCCAAGAACTAAGCTGAGAAAGTATTTTTATTACGTTTTTCACAGAGATTATGTGGCGCACTTGCCTGCGAGTATCAATTAACGGAGAGAATCATGGCATGATCATTATTAGGATGAAAGTCCTTTCGTGACACCCATAACCATAGAAAAATCCAATATTTCTGCAACCTCATTGCTTGCGAGTATCCGTTAACGGAGAGAATCATGGCTTGATCATTATTAGGAGGAAAGTCCTTTCGTGACACCCATAACTATAGAAAAATCCAATATTTCTGCAACCTCAGGCGACACATAAGCGCACGATGCCATAGTAGCAGGAAAACAGGCATGTGACTGCTGCTGCAAGCTGCTGAATTTCGCCTTAAATAATCTAACATTCCTGGTTTATGTTCACGAAGTCGCCATATTATGAAGTACAGTCTGCGAGGTTTGCCGTTAATTCATGTGATTTCTTTGGAAATCAAGCGACTAATTTCACCTTACTTCACAGATTTTATTTTAACCCCCTCCTCCACAAAATTAAGATTATATCATGACTTGTTTGGACAAATTCAGACTAAAATTTCTAACTTGAGTTTCCTGAAAGCCAGTCTACAATGCTATCCACCATATAGGCTGAGTTTTCTAGAATTTGCGTGAAGACATTGGCAAACATGATATTATACAGTCGATCAGTTGTGGCAGCAACGTGTCTATTGACACCATAGGATCCTAGCACAGCGCACCTCTATCGGCTGCACTGTTTTATGCAGTGATCGCTAAGTTCAGCACTAATTAAATATACCTGTGCTGGTGGAGCAGTCTTAAACTGCGTCGCCATAAGTTGATGACGTCGTCTCTGAAAGGAAAAAGCAGCATATGACATTTGAAATTCACGTGGGCATACATCGACGTCATTGGTGAACTGTCCTAATGATATACAGACCTAAGCAGGAAGATCACCTGTGCTCTAACTTTTGCTTTTGACGCTGATCTAGTAAAAGCTATGGCACAACTATAAATCGGAAGCAATTTTGCCTTGTAACGAAAGGCTAAGTGAACTCGACCAAAAAATCAAAGGAAAAACAACCAGCTTTACGTTTGCAGACGTTCCAGTGGAGAACACCACAATGCAGTGCACCACCGGACACAAAAATGGTGTACTTTAACACAAAATCTCGATGGGCTCCGGTACGAGGAAGAAATCAAACACCACAAGGAGTGTCTGTGAGGACACCAACACTGAAGTACATAGGTGAATTCTGGTAACTTTCCCAAAGTCTTGTACAAGGTCTACACTGCAAAAGCACAAATTGCTGCGAAAAATAAGCAGGCGGGTTTTTAAAAAAGTAAAGGGTGACCGCGATAATTTCAGAAGCGTTTCAGTATAAGCTCACAATGAGGAAGCGCAGAGGTCCCGGAGATATGGTAGCTGAACGGCTGGTATGGTCATAGTAGTGTGGGGCCAAGAACCGAGCAAGGCATACAAACTACGCAAAACTTTCATTCAGATCAAAGCTGTCTCTATCGGAAGCCTCGGAAAAAGCCTAAGTATCTGTTGATGGCAGCAGTGATACACAATACTGCTGAAGAAGGCATACTGCTTAGGTGATGGCTAAAAGGACGTGACAAAAAGCATTTAAAAATAAAACAGGACCAAACTGGCGTGCAACAGAAGTTGAATCAATTCAAACTAACTTCATAGCTCGAAAGATCACATCCAAACAGCGACGGTTGGATGACTGATCCATACAGTTCATGAAACTGGCTCCCAGAAGGCCTGCCTGGAGGACGTCGTCCAAAAAACAAAATTTGTCATACGGTGCGAAGTAAGACACACGGGGGCATATTTTTTAGGTTGAATCAATCCTGTCCTATATAATACCACAAATGAATACTTTGCCCCTTACCGCCTTTCATATGGTGATGAATTGCACACAAGTAGGTTACTTTGGAGGCAACTGATAAAAAGGTTGCTCAGAAATCATCGTCAGCCCGCAGGCAATGTCGCCTTTCTCAAGTTTTCTCAAGAAAAGCAAACGTGAACGGGAACTTCAGCCAGGATTCAGTGCGGTCTCATAGTAAAACCACATGGGTGTGCAAATGAGAGTATTAAGCATATGAAAAGTAACTCCCGTAGGAAGACCGCAAGTTCCAAGAAAACCTTAACCTATTCAAGCGAACTTATGCTTGGATGAATATGCTGGTCTAAGTTTCCAGTGATATCAATTAAAACGTACTCATCAGATGGATAATGGGCCCATTTGCGTTGGGAACAGGGGGAACGAAGAACATGCAGTAGAACCAGAAAGTGAAGAACTCTTACTGAAACTGAATGTTCTGAATGCATTCTTTAGTTTCCGTGCAATGAATTATTTGTTCTGAATGCATTCTTTAGTTTCCGTGCGTCGATTTTCCGAAAATCCTTCCCTTGAATGAGACGTCTTCATTCGATCGGAACGTCAACACTAATGTGAGGAAGATTCGATTTATTTTTCTCCTGATTTCACTTGTTGTTGTGACTTGCTCCAAGCAAATCTTCTTCTACCCACTCAGAGGAAATCGTCGTAAAAACGTTTGTGACCGAAGGGTGTTCACGAAAAGGCAGCGCTATTCAGAGTGGCGTGATTGTAGCTGGTCTCCAGAATATGTACTGCACTGTCCCGAATTATCATAAGTAGTTGTTGCTAACCTTCATGTGCACGCCACTTTTCAGTGGCCTACGTGCTTTTGTCGTATGTTGCAGAGCCTGGATATACTGAAATTAACAGAAGTAAACTCACAGATATAAATTAGATGAAACATCTTGATATGAAGATCGTCCAGGACTTAGCCCAATTTCTGACTCTGTTAAGAACCATGTTGCTACGCAGCCTTTGAAAAATGCTGTTGCACAAGCTAGAATTCCGCAATGGCTTATTGACAGGAGGCCTCTAAAATGAAGCACCGCACCCATCGACTGATTAGGGTATTTTCGACAGCTTTGCTGTATTCTTACAGTTGACCTTGACCATTGAGGTATTCTGAATAATTGCAAGTTTGCCTCCAACAAAATATGTTATGCATAAGTGTGCGAATACTAAACAAAACTCGTAGACTTTCAGTTGCTAAATTATAGATCACGGCGAATTATCCATTGTCTCCCAAGGTACACAAAAGAATGGTTGAAATTTACGATGAAGATGAAGATTTCTTGAAAATACGGAATAAGTGTAACGTTGTAAAGCCGATTGCAAAAGACGTGATGAATACAGATCATTCCATCAGCAGTGCCCGGATGAAACGGTTTATTTGCATCTGTATTGAAAATGTAAAATGAGCACCCAGTACTCTGCTAAAAAAACCGCTAAGCTGTGTTTGATATATCCCATCCATTAACAGCATTTAGTGGACTGACAGTAATATTACGGTTCAGTTTTAAGCATATTCGTTGGTAGATCAGCGGATGACCAGCATATGTTCTGTCGAGAATTTACCTCTTGGATCATGGCTGCATAGGTGATTTCCGTGGGAACATTATTCACTTATGGTCGGTCGTATCTGACTTGTTCCAGATTAGGTGCGTGTGGCCACTGTTCAGTTATCTGGAAGGTTTCTATGTTCTAGAACCACATTCTGAAGGTTGTGCTTGAAAACTTGGTTATTCGACGATTAAGTGTCGTCCATGTTTTATCCAAAGCTAGTTTTGAAATACAGTTGTTTTGGTTCCTCCTTGCCCGTGAAAGTGGTGGTTTTCGAAGAAGATACTATGGAGCATTCCGAAAAAAGTGATGTATCAAGGTTCACCTGTTGAGGGGTGAAGAGAGATATTAGTGACGTCTTTCAACAGCTGAAAAACTAGTGGGTAAACTGGGCGTTCTCTGATTGGCTGCGACCAAATTGGGAATACAATTCCCTGCGACCATAAAGCTGACCAATCATTGGTCTGCAGCAAAATATCATTGGGAGTTGACAAACACAAAACACTAGTCTCACAGGGACAGGTAATAAAATTTGTTATCCGTTTAATGTGACCATGACGACAACAATCAAACAGCAGCCATTTTTAGGGAATTGTACTTCCGAACTATTCGTTTTCCTCATGTCGGCACCCTACCGGTGAACAAATCCGCATGCGCATTTGTTGGGACATTATTGGCAATGCCGAGGACGCCAACAGGCAGACGGAACGCCAGAGCTGACGTTATCCGGGCTTTCTGCCGCTGGACCGGTGTTCGCGGATTTCAGCATATACTTCGGGTGGAACATCCCCTATTACGCACAATATGGACTTTGTTCACCGCCTTTATGTTGATAGCTAATATTGGTCTAGTGTCTTTACTACTTACTCACTACTATCGATTTAATACCATTGAAAATATCAAAATTCTACGCGGAATGTCTGTACAGTTTCCTCATGTCACCTTATGCAATGTGGATCCAGTCAGTTCTGACAGGGTGTATTGCTTGAAAAACATACATGCCCCAGGATGTGAGTTTGCAGCGAAGTATGTGGATGTATTGGAGAAGTACATGACTGCTAGTAACTATTCAGAAACCTACAAAAATTCTCCTGTGATGAGCAAACTAGAGGATCCAAGTATGGTTGCAATCTTCTTTCAACTTATTGGAATTGAGGCAGCCTCACATATTGGACATCAGCTGGATGACTTTATCATATCAAATCTGTGTGAACTGACAACCAGTGAAGAAGGTGGAATATTGGTTAAACGTAAGTGTAAAGAGGCGGGAATTAAGCCCCTAAATTTTGTCACTTACAAGCATTTTAACTGTTACACTCTGGCTATTACAAACCCTAAAATGAGTACAAGAGCTGTGAGGTTGTCGGTTGTACTCTACCTGGATGAGGAAGAGGATTTGAATTGTCGACCTCATTGTACACACGAATTCACTGAATGGGCTGGCGGAAAAGTGGTTATTCATCCTGTCGGCACGTTTCCAGATATTGAAAAGATGGGAATGAATTTATTACCCGGGGCGTCGAATCAAATCCTCATCGAAGAAGTTCGACAGTACGAACGCAAACACTTGACGAACAAACCATGCAGTCGGGAGGGAAGCACTCCCCTGGATACGGTTTATTTCAATATGGAAACACAACAGTTTGAGAAACGCAAAATGAACTATACAGATACTCTGTGTGTACAACTACATTCACAACAGGTTACAATGGACACCTGTGCTTGCGTGGATTTTCTAATGCCCATACCTGGGTCGCATATTCAACAGATTCATGAGCTTCCTTTTTGTGGGAACATGTCGCGTGTAAATGTGTACAAAAGTCTGGTATGCAAGCAAAACGTCCGTTTAAATAACTCGCAACGTTTCAGGGAGCTGTGTCCACTTCCCTGCGAACAGATGCACTACAATTTCGAACTGACCCAACTTCGGTGGCCACAAAAACCACGCATTTTGAAGTATTATACCGAGCTGAAGGACCGGATTTACTATAACCGAAAATTCAAAATCTACGAGAAAATTGAGGCTGAGTCAAAAATCAACGCATCGAAGGCCCTCAGATTACTGCAAGGAACGGATATATTTGAAAAGAATCTTCTTCAGCTGGATGTGAACAGACCAAATTTCGATACACTTGTGAAGTATACAGAGAATGAAGAGTACACACTGCCCACGTTGATGAGTCAGTTAGGTGGTATTAACAGCATATTTTTGGGATTTACCTGCTTTACCCTTCTGGAACTAATCGAGCTTGGTTTTCGACTCGTCTGGGCCACCTGGCCATCCCTGACACCATTGCCAAATTGGAATTCTGGAAAAAATGCGAACGTATTGAACGGAGAGGCGGCGTCTTTGAATACTGAAGCCGCAGAAACGGAGCAAGAGAAGCTGCCATCGAAAAGCCTACAAAATTCTCACGTAGCAGTCAAACAGTCAAAATGCCCTCAATCAGTAATTTCGGTTGATTGGAATGAAGCAAAAGGTGAGACACAGCCGGAAGAAACGTATGACACCCCTGTCAGTTGACAACAGCAAAGCAACGCAACACAAATCACATTGTGTAGATATAATCAGATTATCATGGATTATGACCAGATAGTGATTAAAAACCTGCAGGCTTCAAAATAAATTTACGAACCTATATGTGGTCCACTTTACAAACGACAGGAAAAGAATCCCGTCTGCTGAGAGGAAGGTGAGTGATAGTGGCAAGACAGCCTGCTTCATTGCCGTCTAACCGATGTAGCAGAAGTGGATACTTTCTCGTATTTCTTTCATATTTCATGAAAAGAGCTGATTGGCTTGCTCAAATCAGTCTTTTAATAGGCTGTGAATTTTGGATGGCAAGAACACTGATACTTTAAACATTCCTACAGAAATCATGCATTCTTCCTCCACAAATGTGTTGTAGCATATAAACGTTTAGTTCTTCCGGTTCAGAAGTTCAAAAATGCTAGATTTCCCCCTAGAGACATTCAACAGATGTATGAAAAGTGTACGTTGAAGATTTTTCAATAAATCTTTTTCCGATAGCCGTTTTCACCTTCAGCATCATTAAAATGTCACCAAGACGGTGGCATTCCTGGGTGATTCACAAACAAAAAAGTGCTTACCAAATCACCGTATATGACGACAACGTGCTCTTAGCTTATCAACATTAATGAATGTGGAACTTGCCAAGTGTCTTCGATTAACGATGAATTCCTTTGGTCACGTGAATGGCACGCCCCTAATGAATTAAGAGCGGCAAGACCAATCCGACGACCAAGTAATAATCACGATGAGATACACTGTACATAAGGTGGCTGAAAATTGTTCTGCAGCTTATTCAGTTTGCCTATGAATCATGCAAGTTACATGTGAAGCAATCGGAAAAACGCCAGCTGATGTGCGTGTCACCCTCAAGTTATCCATCCGAGACACGCTTGAATCTGTCACTTGAATCTGTTACTCAGGCCCGCAGAGTGGGATAGATCACTTGAATCTGTTACTCAGGCCCGCAGAGGTGCATGATTCTTGGTTTGAAATGCAATGTTCCAGGTGTATCCACAGGTATAACCGGACATAGGACCTTAGGTAGACAGACAGGTCGGTAGGCAGATAGATCGATGGATGGGTTGGTCCATATGTAGATCCATATGTAGATAGATATATACTTAGATAGGTGGGTCTTATTAAGCCTCGTCTGAGTGCCTTGCTGTCAGCATAATCTCACCGCGGGAGTATTTAACCGTGGAGAAAAAGAGGGCATAAAGCCCAAAATATTAAGTATGAAACACTATCTGAACTTGAGCTCTGAAGGTCCAAACGTTAACGAAACAAAGATTTAAAGTCAAGAATTGAATTTCTGTACTGGAACGTACGGAGAAATATAGATTTAGGGTATTCCTCTTACGGTCGTAGGGACATGAACAGACAGAATGAGGATTGCGACTGGGTATACATGAGAATATTCGCTAACATCTGGAGGAAAACGAGTCATGGGGAAAATTTGCCCAACCATATCAGTAATTAGAAACTTCATGTGGGTAACTGTAAGGTGCAAGTAGCATCATACGAATAAACCATCCTGACTATTTTAACTTCCGTATTCTATTACACCTGCTGCATACAAATATGTTGTAGTATTCTTATCCGAAGCTTTCACAGTCTAACAAAAGCCTCTGAAGTGAGATTGTTGCATTCTCCAATGTTGGTCGCCTTTTATGGTGGAGAAATAAGAAAGTCTGAGATTTTCCCATGGAATATTTTTTATCAAGTATACTGATGGGAGATGAAATACGTGCGAAAGTTGTCAGCCGATTGAAAAAATCTAGTTAGGTGACTTTGGGTGGTTTAGTCGGAAGCGCCCGTTTTGTTGTGAACCTAGAAGCAGCCGTTTTGGCAAAATTAAAATTTGTCAGAAAGCATGCACCCGTTGTTGCCCGAAAAAGCGAGAAGCTACCAGGTTCACAAGGAAATTTCTTTGGCACGTCAGAGCTAGTCAAACGTTCCCCCAGTAGGACTCAGAGGAGAAAATCAGTTGCTGCCAAATTGGACCTTCCTATTTTGCAATTCAATTATTCTAGTCAACAACAAACCGTGACTTATCGAACGTGATTTCATTGTTTACTTGCACTTGATGGGCAGTCTGCGTAGGTCATAAACGAATCTCCTAAAACAATCATGGAATCAACCCGGGATGTCTATGCGCATGCTGCGCATGCATTCGAAATTCTGACGGCTGCGCATTTTCCAACGGCTTACCAGATAAATCCATTTGGGGCATTTGATAGATGCCAGTGATCGGATCAATATCCTCCGAGTAATGTATTTTATATGTATAAGAGGCAAGCCTGTTTTGATTTAAGCATGAAAGACTTCTTTGCCCATCAACCAATTACCCAGCTGTGGCAGCAACATTGGCATCCAGGTTAAATGTTTACACACATGTCTTTCTAAGTTGCACCAACATTGTTCTCAAGAGTGTATGTTTGTGGAATCAAAACAACGTACAGCTCTAAAATTGTTTTCTGGGGCCAATAGTATCCCTGTTCCTTCTGATGGACTATTTTCATATATACCAAGGGTCTTTTTGAGTTTATACCATAAAGTCTATGCAGTAAGACAGATGTGATACATGATGAGAATTAGTTAGTATTGTATCCCGAAAATCTCAAGGGATAGCTGAAACAGTGGGTTTTTCGATGCAGTTTGACAATTTCACCTTGTAAGCATGTATAGAGACGAACACGATAAATATCTGTTCCAGTGGACGGCTACGTTGTAAGGTTAATTGAGCTGCTGACAATGAGATCCTCCTATATTTTTAAGAACCAAAATCGTTTTTTCCCAAATAACATGTTATTAAATTACTAACAGGAGTGCGTCAAGTATTTTTTTCAATAAGCTTTGTTAGGGAAAAAGAATTATATCCCGAAACCATTCTTTGTTTGACCCGAAGGTCCTCTGTATAAGGCAAATATTAACTGAAAATGGACTGTGTAGCATGCCCACAATGATTCTTTGTTGAAAAAGTCTTGGAGATTACTGCTACTATTCAAACGTGTATCACTGTTTTGCTAAACGCTGCCCGAGGACGAGAGACAATCTATTAGAGAACACGGTGCATCTTCGATTCGTTAGCGTTTTTCACCCAACACGAAGAAAATATACTTGTTACTGATTTTTCGTGCTTCGGTTAGTTGATAAAGCATCGATTAATACGCAAATGCTTAAAAGATTTTATCGTTACCATTGTTTGCAGTAAGCATGTTAAAAATAAGCGGCAGTGTCTGTAAGGTTGACCAATGTTGCATCCTGTGGACGAAGTGGGCCAGTCAACTAGATGAAATTCCCTGAATCCGATGGCCTGTGATGGCAGTATGCGGACCAAACAGTTTGTCATCTTGTTTACATCACAGCAAAGTTTCGATTACAAGCAGAAAATTTGCGGAGCCCAAAGCATGCACTGGTGGGAAAAACAGCATCTGCATTTGAAATTGTCTATTCCTTAGATTTGAATAGAATATCAACTGAACACGAACCAGCGTACTACTAATTAGAAATTCGGTTTTCCGTCACGTGTGCCGATTCACTCATAGGAATGAACAATGCGTTGGAGTAAGTCTTGGCAATTTTATTTAAAAAAAATAAATATAGAAAAGATGGGAACTCATCGAACTCATCGTGATAGTAATCCCCTTCGTGTATTGCTGTATGAAATTGAAGTGAGCACCTAGAATGCGTGATTGGAATGAATCATGAAAAACACTTATGAATAAAAGAAAAGTTGTGGTAGCGGATTACTCCTTCATAAAATTTATCAGCTTATCATGTGTTTTACTGGCCAAGGTTATCAGATCCATGACCTGCACCAGGTTGTTTAATCAAACATGAATTGCCCTCCCGTTTCTCCTGTAAATGAGAATAGGTTACATCCTGTTGATTTTATTGTACTGAAATATGTATTTCAGACTAATGAAGAGAAAGCAAAAATGTACCGCCAATTGAGCAGTGGTGTTTGAAATCAAAACCTGTAATAGTTTTGTTTTCCACTTACTTGTCAGTTCTATTTTTCAACCTCAAAAACTTTAGCGGAAGAATGGTGTCCGGATACAGCCATTCATCCGAGAAACAAAACAAATCAGCAGTCAATCGAACACTCGGACTGATTTCTCCATACTTTAGCATTCGTCTACTTTGTGGCCTGGAAAGAACGAAATGCTTGTCAGTTCTTGACTTCCTGCTCTTTGTTACCACTGTTGAAAACATCCCTCAGTAGGTGAAGTTTTTCTTTTCTCTGCGGGAGGTTTTTCCAGCACTTTTTGAAAAGGAATGAGGCTGATTTTGTTGATTTTTATTGAGCTAGACTGAATAAGTATTTACATCAAACCTACAAAAAAACGAGTGAAATAATATACATGTCGCTGTCTGAATCGATATACTACTGAGGTGCGATTCAACGTACATGCTGTCGGGATTAGCTGCAAATCTTTCGTGGTAAACCAAAGGGGTTAACGCAAGTCGGAAGAACAGTGTTTGGAGCAATCAATGAAACCAAGATAATTTCATAATTACTCCTAAGTCTGCCCGAAATTATATGTACAAATGTTATCGATAGTCTATCAAGGCTTCAAGAGAACGAATCGCTTTGATAACCCAGGAATCATTCGCTGGCAACTATCAGGCACTGTTGGTTGATCACGTCAGTGCTGACCTCTTCACTGAGCCTGACTATTAGCTTGAAAAGCTTCATCCACAGGCGAGAAGTTTTCATCAGTTTGCAAGGATCAACTCACAATGGCTAGCTTGAAAAGCTTCATCCACAGGAGAGCAGTTGTCATCAGTTTGCAAGGATCAACTCACAATGATGATGTCTCCTCGACTTGCTCCAAGATGTTTGCAAGCCAACTGCCAAATTATACAAACGGACCAAGGGGTACTTGATAAACCACCATTAAGTGCGATCGAGTTACCAATATTTAGACACAACACCTACCAGGCACATGTGAGGCTACATTGCTGTCCTGTATGATGACTCAAAT